CCCTCCTTGAGGGGCAACGTCTTCCTCCTGCCTCTCCCCTTTGCACGCTTACCCGCTGACGTATTGCAACCGCTGCCCACCGCTGCGAACTCGGTGGCCGCGTTCCGGCGCGCATGCACTGAGCGGTCCGATGTTTCTTTGACTTTGTCCGTGGCTTCCGCTGTTGCGCGTCTTCCTGCCGATGCGCCGTGCCAACGCGGCTTCTTCCACTTCCAGTTCTGGCTCTGGGCCCAGGAGGGCCCCCCGGGCCGAAGCTCGGTGCACGTGCACAGGCTCCCCTCGCCCCGAGGAGCCGGGGCGCCCTTCGCCCCCAGGGGGGCGGGCGCGGGGGCCGCTCCTGAGGCCTTGGATCGGGTGCGCCCGGGGGGATCGCGGGTCGCCGACGAGGACGAGGACGTCGAGGACGACGACGACGAGGACGAGGACGAGGACGAGGACGAGGACGAGGACGAGGACGAGGACGAGGACGAGGACGACGACGACGACGACGACGACGACGACGACGACGACGACGATCCCGACGACGACGACGACGACGGGGCGGGCCTTCTCGAAAGGTCCGCAGGGCCTCCAGCCTTCTGAGAAGTGCTCCAGGCCCTTTCCGACTACGCAGGAAGAGCTTCTCGGAGGGCCAGGGGGCCTCCTTAGAAGCCCCGCCGACGTCTGAGAAAGCCTCCTCCTCGTCACTGCCCCCCCCCCCCCCCCTCGCTCGCCGCCCGTCTCCGCCCTGAACCACAGCAGGAATCCCGAGGACTCTCGCCTCCTGGGGCCCTCCCCCAGGCCCCAGGACCAGGAGAGCACCGCTCGGGATGAGAGGCCTCGCCCCAAGAGAAAGCCCATGGGGTGCAGCACCCGTTTCCCCTCCGGGCTCGTGCGCTTCAGGATCGGCATCTGCGCACCTCTGCCCCTCGGGCGCACCGACAAGGCCCTGCCGCTCCTGCTCTCACGCCTCTCCTGCGCCCGCCTGCCACTCCTGCTCGGGCTTCTGCTCCTGCTCTCGGACCGTGACGAGCCGAGCTCTCGGTCGACATTGCTCTGGCTGAAGCTCTACATTGCGAGCGACAGGAAAAGCCACTTCGGCAATGAATTCAGAGCGTCTGGCCCAGGCAGGGCCAAAGCAGTGAAACGTGACAGAGCGGCAGCGGTAGCACCGGGGGAAGAGAAGGAAGAGGCATGTAGAGGGAGGAGGGATGATGATGATCAACAGTATAAGGAAGACGAAAGGGTTATTATGCGGAAGTTTTCCGTTCGAAGCATACCATGCCATAAGTGACCAATGCCTCGCCTCCATCTGAGAGGAACAGCAAGGGAATCCTGCTGCTCCTCCTCCTCACCCTCCTCCGCCTGTTCCCCCCTCCTCCTTCTCCTCCGGCCATCCCCTCTTCCTCCTACCCGTCTCTCCATCCCCCTTCCTCTCCGACTCCTCTCTCTTCTCACAGCATGAGCGAAGATGACCGGGGGGAAACCAACAGGAGCGAACGAGGAACGATGCGGACCCAGGGGGGGACCAAGAGGAGTGAGCGAGGGACCGAAATCATCGGATCACCCACGCCACGTGCGGCAAAAGGACACCAACGGTCTTCAACTTTGATCCTTTCTCTCGGCGGTGAATAGGACTGGTCCTGAGACCTCCTCCTTTTCGTGAGAGCGCTCCTGGGGCAGTAGTAGTAGTAGTAGTAGTAGTAGTAGTAGTAGTAGTAGTAGTAGTAGTAGTAGTAGTAGTAGTAGTAGTAGTAGTAGTAGTAGTAGTAGTAGTAGTAGTAGTAGTAGTAGTAGTAGTAGTAGTAGTAGTAGTAGTAGTAGTAGTAGTAGTAGTAGTAGTAGTAGTAGTAGTAGTAGTAGTAGTAGTAGTAGTAGTCCTCGTAGTCTGATTAACCCAAAAAGAACCCCCTAACCCTTTGGGATGGGGCCTAAGTTAGGAAAGCCAATAACATTAGGGATAGGGGGTCTGTTCTGCAAATGTATCAGATCAAACCGCCCAGATCGATCATCCCTTATGCGAAAACGGGGGCCACAGTGAGGCCACGTCTTCGTCGTGTTATTAGGGTGAGGGGTTTGTCTATCCTCGATGATAGTCGTACTCGCAACCGTAGTCGTAACTGTCGTGGTCGTTCTTGCGCGGCGGGTGCCGCGGAACAAAAATAATCAGTCACCCACTATTGGTGGGCCCCCAGTCCTTCGATGAGGCCGCCGAAAGAATCACCAGTCCCCCCCTACTGGGGAGGGGTCTGCAGACCTTGCGTGCCACGGGAAGGGGCTCCATCGTGGGGGCGGGGCAAGGCCTGGCTCTCCATGCCGGCACCGGGGGCGAGGCAGTATGGCGCCTCTCCTCTGAGTGCGCCGACGGGCCCCCACGCCCGGGGGCCACGTGTGCGACGCGGGTCCGCCGAGGTCAGTCCGGGTCGGTGCCGTCGCGCGCGGAGGGCAAGGATGAGGGGCACGGAGGAAGGGAGGGAGATGGGAAAGGGGGACCGCGAGGGAGAGGGGAAGCGGGAGAGGGAAGGAGAGGGGGGAGGAGGCTGGGAATGGAGTGGGAGGAGGGGGAGGGGAGGGAGGGAGGGGATGGGGGAGGGGGGTGTAGAGAAGGAGGTGGGGGGAGCGGAGGGAGAGAATCTGGATCCGCGATGGCTCCTGACATATTCCTGCGGCCCCCTCTTGCGGGCACCAGGCTCGAAAACTGATGGACTCGTGTACTGCTGCTGTCTCTCGTCTTCTCTCCCATGACGGCTCCCTGGTGAGGCGAGCGGCAGATACGCAGCCCTTCGGATCTGGCTGTGCCCATTATCAGGGGCGCTGGGGCTATGTCCGAGCTACCTCTCACAGGACACAGTGTGGAACCTGCAGGCGGCCCCACTCAGAGACAAGAAGCACTTGAGCACATGAACCGATTGTTGTTTGCTGTGGTTTTGCCCTTGCTCCTCCTCCTCCTCCTCCTCCTCCTCCTCTTTCTGTCGGATGTTGCCCCGCCCCTCCCGGCCCTGGGGGGGTGATCAAACGAATAACCCTGGCTCACCTTTTGGGCTTCTGGTGTGTCGAGCTGGTCCCCTGGAGGTCGCAGCAGAACCCAAAGAAGGGCCCCCGATCCCGCGATGGCCCCACGAGTCGCAGTCGTCCGCTTGGCTCAGCAAGCCCTCCATGAAGCTGCAAGACGCCCCCAAACATCGCACACGAGGCGACCGCGACGCATCAGTTCCTGGAACTGTGCCCCACACGAGACGTTTCGACACACGAAACCTTCGAAGATTGGGAAACACTGTCGACAGGACCACCTCGACAGGAACACGTCGACAGGCCACACGAGGCGTCCCACCTCCTGCTCCCACACGAGGTGGGACGTCTCGCACTTCGACACAGGAAACCTTCGAAGATCGCACACGGGGCTCCCACACTTCTGTGGTAACTTATGGAGGCCTCCCATGCCATCTTGCTGGCTCTTGCGTATCGACGCTAATCGGCCGCTCGATCGACGCTACATGTGCGCTTTCTCATCGATGGCCAGACGCTTCGGCACGCCAATGCACTGTGGAGACGGAATTTCTAACATTAGCCTGACGAAAGACACAACCTTATGCAACTGCGAGTGCCGCATTGTGGGTACAACTTTCGGTGGAGCTCCTTATGGGGCCACGACCCGTGTGAGGGGCGTGTCGAATTGGGCGCGGTGCTGTCATGCGAACCCTCCCACTGGAGCCTTCGGTGGAGTATCCTCGGGGGCCACGAAACGTGTGAGGGGGTGTACCGAATTGGGCGCGGTGGTGCCATGCGAACTCTCCCACTGGAGCCTTCGGTGGAACTCCTTATATTATGGGGTGCGCCGAAATGACGGTGGAACTGCATGCGAACTCTGCCATTGGGGCCTTCGGTGGAGCTCCCTATGGGGCCACGAACCGTATGAGGAATGCGCCCGAAATGAAGGTGGAACTGCATGCGAACCCTGCCAAGAATCCTTCGGTGGAACTCCCTAAGGGGCCACGAACCGTGTGAGAGGGGCACAGACATGGGGGCGGAACTGCATGCGAACCCTGCCGCCGGGGCCTTCGGAGGAGCTCCCCATGGGGCCACGAACCTTGTGAGGGGTGCGCCGAAACGAAGGTGGAACTGCATGCGGACCCTGCCTCTGGGGCCTTCGATGGAGCTCGCTAGGGCCACGAACCGTGTGAAGGGTGCGCCGAAATGAATGTGGAACTGCATGCGACCCCTGCCACTGGGGGCTTGAGGGTGGAACTGCATGCGGACCCTGCCACTGGGGCATTCGATGGAGCCCCCCACGGGGCCACGAAGCGTGTGAGGGGTGCGCCGAAATGAGGGTAGAACTGCATGAGGACCCTGCCACTGAGGCATTCGATGGAGCCCCCCATGGGGCCATGAAGCGTGTGATGGGTGTGCCGAAATGGGGGTGGAACCGCATGCGACCCTGCCTCTGGGGCCTTCGGTGGGGCCCTCTGTGGGGCCACGAAGCGTGTGAGCGCTGCGCCGGAAAGGACATGGAACCGCCATGCGGACCCTGCCAATGGCGCCTAGCTCCCCATGGGGCCACGAAGCGTGTGAGGGGTGTAACGTGTGAGGCGTGTGCCGAAATGGGGGTGGAACCGCATGTGGACCCTGCCACTGGCGCCTTCGGTGGGGCCCCGTATGCCGAAATGGGGGTGGAACCGAATGCGGACCCTGCCACTGGGGCCTTCGGTGGGGCCCTCTGTGGGGCCACGAAACGCATGAGGTGTGTGCCCAAATCGGGTGGAAACGCATGCGGACCCTGCCGCTAGGGCCTTCGGTGGGAACGCATGTTGGGGCCACGAAACGTGTGAGGGGTGTGCCGAAATGGGGATGGAACCGCATGCGTGCCCTGCCACTGGGGCCTTCGGTGAGGCTCCCTGTGGGGCCACGAAACGTGTGAGGGGTGTGCCAAAATGGGCACGGAACCGCATGCGGACCCCGCCACTGGGGCATTCGGTGAAGCTCCCTGTGGGGTCACGACGGAGGAGGGAGGGAAGGAGTAAGGAAGGAGGGAGGGGAGGAGGGAGGGAGGGAACGCGGGGACCGTCTCTTCAAAATGGGGACGCAACACCACAGGATGGTTGGGACCAAAACATGAGGCCCACATGAGTTGCCGCGGGACCAAGCTATCCTCGGCAAGCGCCCCAAGGCCCCCGCGACTGCCATGACGGCCCTGCTCACGAGCGACGAGCCTATCCACATTCACGCCCTCGCGGTATGGATTCCAGGGCCCGATCCCGCGGATACGCAGCCTCACGGATACGTTCCTCGCAGAGCACCCGCGGCAAAACGCCACACATCCGCGGGGTCGAGGCACAAGGGCCCAGCCCGCGAGGCCGCGGATGCGGATGCAATGTGTCTCGCCCACGACCTGCAGCGCACAATTGAGCAGGGGCCGACCATCCCGGCATCCCGATAGGCCTACCACGCAATGTCTGTAGAACTGAAAAACAAGTTCGAATAAATATGAAGCACTGTCCTTAGAACATAAGCCCGCTGTATGACAACAAAACGATCGCAACCAGAAATGTTCTAAGAACATCCCGTGCAAAGCCACAACAGATTCTTAGAACACTCTCTGGTGGGTCTATAGGCAAACCAAGACGCTCCGCCACTGCTTGACACAGCAGGAGTGGGCGGGCGGCGGGGCGTTCCGCCGCCACCTGCCGGCCTCCATGGTCTGCCCCTCCGTGCCTGTCCTCCTCCCCCCCCTACCGCATGTCTTCCCAGTGTCTTCGCCATATGATCGTAATCTGAAACGCCTAAAGCCTGTAGGCCCCGGGTGGCTCCAAAACGGCCCTCCCGGAAAGGCCCGGTCGGCCCACGACCCGGCCCTTCCGAAAGGAGCCCATCCGGCGCGCCGAATGGACTCCATCGAGCGCGCGGCGTGGGAGGTGCCCACAAGCCGATCAACAAAAAAAAAGATGGAGACCATCCGGCGCCGCATGGACTCCCGAGATTAGAGCCCATCCGGCGACAAAGGAGTCCATCTGGCGTAAAACAGAGTCCATCAGGCGAACCGATAGAGTCCATCCGGCGGCGTTAGAGTCCATCCGGCGCCAAATTAGAATCCATCCGGCGGCATTAGAGCCCATCCGGCTGGCAAAATGACCATCATAGCATCCGAGTCCATTCGGCGGATAGCCCCGTTGTGCGCGCTGCTTGCACATCCCCTCGACCCCTCGACCCCGCGCCCCATGCCCCCAAGACCAATGCCACCCGCGACCTTCTCACCCCGCCACCCCGCGACCCTATCCCGCGACCACAAGTCCTCAAGACCCCGCGACCCCACCGCTCACCACATCACCGCCATGTCACCCCGCCGCCCCACGAACCCGCGACCTCACGCCACTGCCCCGAGACCCCGCTGCTCCGCAACCCCGCAGTCCCACCGCCCCGCCACGCCACCGCCTCAGCGGATCCTCAGGATCCCTCTCCCTAGGAAAATCCTGGGGATTATTGAGGATCCCTAGCGAATCCAAGGGGGGGCCCACGGATCTTTCGGGATCCTTAGCGAAACCCTGAGGGAACCTTGGGGATCCGTGGGGATGTTTCGCTGTTCTCGAAGGAAAGCCTTAGGATCCTTTGGGATCTTTAGCGCGCCCCCCAAGAACACCGTAAAGATCTAGGGATCCTCAGCGGTCCCGAGGGAAACCTGGGGATCCTTGGGGATCCTCAGCGGATCCTTAAGGAAGCCTGGAACCCCTTAGCGGATCCCCCGAAGGATATTTCGGGATTCTGAGCGGCACCCTCGAAAACCCCGAAGGACCCTTGGGGATCCTTCGCGGATTCCCACAGGGAAGCCGTAGGAATCCTTGCGGATCCTGGGCGGTGTCCTGAGGAAGAGAGTCCATCTGGCGACGCGACCTATTATTTGCAATGCTGTCTACACGTTTAGCTCACGCAGATCAGAGCCCATCCGGCGCTTATGCGGAGATTCGCCGAATGCAATTTCATTCGGCGCCGAACGGGCTCTTTTCGAAAGGGCTGGGGAAGCGATCAAGACGGCCCCAGAAGGCCCGAAGATAGTTCGTTTGCCATGCAGGAACTGGTGATCCTGGACCCCGGGGCCTCCTCCCCCAAGACAGATGGGCAAACTTTCCACCAACAGTACCTCATGTAGGACGGGGGAGAAGGGAGGATGAGAAGGTCCTCCTCCTCTTCCACCTCCTCCTCCACCTCCACCTCCTCCTCCTCCTCCTCCTCCTCCTCCTCCTCCCTCTCCAAACTATGGTAGTGGTGGTGGAAAATGGGCCCATCAAAAACCAACCCTTTATCTGGGGCCGTTTTCTTTTCGCCAGCCGCGGGGGCCTAGGGAAGGCCCCGAGAACCCGAACATTGAGACAAAGGAGGACACGTTACCCTCTGCATCCGCTTGCTTCGTGGCGGCCTTTTCGCGCCGAAGGGGGCGGCGGCGGAGGCTCGTCAGAGCCGCCTTCGATCAAATATTTTCACATGCTCTTACGACTTAAACTTCGGCGGCGAGCGAGGGGGGGGGGACATGAG